TGTCCCTTATGGATCTGAGGAGTTGTAATCTGGATGGTCCCACTCTGACCACTGGGTACACTGGCTCTTGGATCTCTAAGGAGGTGTTGATTTAGCCTCTTCCTGAGGCTACCCAGCAGGAGCTACGAGGAGATCTGCAGATTCCTCTTCTTTGTTTGGGGTTTGGAGGTGCCCAGATGAGGTCCAGCTGTGAAGCAATGCAAGCTGCTTTTGGGCCTTGGGCCTTCTTTTGGATGTTCTGGGTCTCTCCCACCCAGCTGCAGTTTGTTAGGTAATTTTAGATCTCAAAGGGCCAGGCCATTCATATGCAAAAGCCTCTGTGCACAGCTTGGGTGGGGCGGGGTCTCGGGGAATCAACAGGGCGGAGCAAACAGCTATGGCTGATCCTCACCCCTGCCCTAAGAGGCCCTGGGTCTCAGTGTCCCACAGTAATCGCTGCAAGTACCTCTGAGAGAAAGCCGCCCTCGTGTTCCGCCCGATGCCAGACAGTCCAGTTTCTTCCCACAAGAGTCTGGGTCCCCAGGGACTGGCCCGGAACTGGAGTTCAGAGCAGTCAGGGGCTTGAGACTCCCTCCCAATTGAAAAAGACAACCGTGTCCTCAGTTGCCAGCCCTTTCCACATGCACCTCTGTACCTCTGCACTTTACTTCCACACCTCCTCTGAGTCTCAGTGTGCTTTCCTCTTTCCTTCTAGTTGTAGAATTTCCACTCAGCCAGGCTTACTGTAGTTCTGGATGATGTCCGTTTTGTCTTTTAGTTGTATTTTTGAAGTGGTTGTGCAAGGCAGCAATTTCAGGTGTTTATGCCGCCATCTTGGTTTCTCGAACCTAAATTTCTTTAATGGAATTGAGAAAACTGGGCCAGCACAAGTATAGAATTTCTGTGAATTATTGCTACAGGACTCATTCAATGAAGAGATTTAGGCAAAGTCAGGTAGCACAGTTTGTCAATATAAAAGCCTTAGAAGGACAAATAGATTTTAACTTTGCTGAGATAGCTGTAGAGCAAAGTTTTAGAATTGCTAGAAATTATATCAGGATTAATTGGGGATGTTATAGATGCTGAAGCAATTAGGAAGGTACCTTCAAGAAATGAAGCAAGTTCAGATATGGTCTCTAGTAATTTTTTTTAAAAGAAGAAGGAGCCCAGCCAGTGTGGCTCAGTGGTTGAGAGTCAACCCATGAACTAGGAGGTCACAGTTCCATTTCCAGTCAAGACACATGCCTGGGTTGCAGGATCGATCCCCAGTGAGGGGCGTGCAGGAGGCAGCCGATCAATGATTCTCTCTCATTGATGTTTCTATCCCTGTCTCCCTTCCTCTCTTTGAAATCAATAAAAACACATTAAAAAAAGAAAGGAGAAGGAACACAGAACCAATTGTTGAAATTGCTGTGACTTTCCTTTGAGCTAGAGAAGATTAACTTAACACTGGTCTTTTTGGTGGCTGGTTTACTCAGGAATAGTTTTTAGGACAAATAGCAAAGTATAATAGAGTTGGAGTAAAAATTAAGTTAGGAAATATATGAAAAGGGCTTTCATGATAGCTATTTTTATAATTAGTATCAAGCTCTGTTTGTTGTGGTAGTTAATTCCTTTAAGATTTTTATTGCTTCCATTTTTCTACTACCTAAGCAGGAAAATTAACAGAGACGCTAAGAAGCAAAGTGGCATGACCATTAGAATTGAAAAGTACTCAATGGGTCGTCTAGAAGAAACATGAACCTCAGTGTCCTGATCAGTAATGTGCCAGGGTTGACCAAGATCCTTGCAGCAGTTGTGAGAAGTGCCATGGGAAAGAAATCTGCTTAATTTTATTTGACTCACCCGTTTTCCAAACATATTTGACTGCAGGAGTCTGTGATTGCTTTGTTTTTAAGAAATAACTCTCAACATTTTGCTGAACTATGTTTCTCAGTTTAGAATCTTCTGGACTAGACGATCCTTACAGTTTTTCCCATGGTTCAAAAAGTCATTTCCATATAGGGTAAATTTATCAGCATTTATACCAGTACTCACATGTGCTGTTAAAGTACAAATGCAAACCTTAAGCCCTGCAGAGTGTTGTTAAGCTGTACTTTTTTTTGTACTGTTTTGGGTAGTAAATTAGACTATACTTTTATCAATTTCATATTTCTCCTCTTGCTACTCCTCCCTGATTTGAAATTATAAATATTTGTTTATAAGTATGGCTTTGCCATTTTGAACTTAAAATCCAGTAAATGCTTTCTCTCTTTTCTAAAAACGTATTTTTATTGATTTTGAGAGAGAGAGAGAGAGAGAGAGAGAAGCATCAATGTGAGAATGAAGTATCAATCAGCTGCCTCTTGCATGCCCCCCACTGGGGATCAAGCCCGAAACCCTGGCATGTACCTTGACCTGGAATCGAACCCAGCAACTTTTCTGTGCATGTGATGATGTCCAACCCACTGAGCTATGTCAGCCAGGGCAATGCTTTCTCTTTTATTAATGGAGAACTACCTTCCTGTTTCCTGATTTCACTCCCAGCTTTGGGTTCACCATTCTTTCTGCTTACCTTTCATGGTGTGGGATATACCTAACATATTGGCAACTTTAGAACTTTCCAGAATATGCTGAGAGCACCTCTCAGACCTGTGCTTTTAGACATATTCCACAGCTAAAATTAATTAATGGTGGCCCAGTCCTAGTTAAGATAAAAAATTAAATTACTGTACACATTTTTTCTTCTCAATTTCATGTTTTTCTTCCAGAACTGTAAATATTATTTAAATATTCCACAGCTGTTTATATAACTCCTTTTAAATGCCAGGAGCTATGATGGTGAATAAGACTTGTCCCCTTTGCTCAAATTGCTAATACTTTAGGGGAAGGGATAGAAAACTAAACAAATTCCAATAACATTAAGTTGTGATATGGGTAAGTATAGGAGTTACGGCAATTTATAGGACCTCCCTCCGAGTCCCAGAAATTTAGAAAAAGTTTTCTGGTGGAAGTAACTTCTGTGTGGAGAATGGACTGACATCTGAATTAGCAATAATTGTTGACAATAATAATTAGCATCTTTTGAACACTTGAAAATGTCGGACTTAGTACGTAGCATTTTGCATATACAGAAATGGGTAAAAGTTTACAATTGTATGTGAAACAGAGTTTATTCTTTTTTTGTTTTGTTTTTATTTATTTTTAAATTTTCTTTATTGATTAAGGTATTACATATGTGTCCTTATCCCCCCATCTCCCCCACAGAGTTTATTCTTGTATTATTATTTATTAATTGTTGTATTATTTTCCATACAAACAATTGTAAACCTACTTTTGCCCATCCCTGTATTAGTGATAATTCTTACAACAAGGGTTATCCCATTTTACAGAAATGAAAGGTTAGTCTCAGTGAGATTAAGTAACAAACAAATTCCACAACTAGTGGCATAGCTAGGAGTTGAACAACCACGAACAAATTTTAGCAGAAGAGTTTGGAAACAGCTCATCATGCAAGTTCAAAAGCAATTTTTCAGGTACAAGTGTGTTCCTGATTTTATATTGCAAATGTACAGTATAGGAAATTTTTCTGCTAAGAAATTGTTCCTAGTTCACATTATGGAATTAAATAGATCAGTTCTAAGTTTTCTACACCTAACAAATGTAAACTCAGCTATAAGATGAAAAGAAATTGATTATATGTCTTAAGTTTATATTTTTAAGATAAATTTCACTTATGTTTTATTGATTGAATTTTAGTTTCACTTTTATTAGAGTTGTTGACTATTGTAATCTCCAAAATGCAGTACCTCATTCTCAAAAATTTTTTTTATTTAACAAAGTTTTATTTTTCAAAATGTACAGCCAGTGAGACCTATTGCTCATGCATCTTCTCCAGCAACTGGGGCATCCCCACCTCTGGTGTTTCTGGTGTAAATTACCTGAGCTCTGTGCCTTGAGGCTGGTTTAATAAGTCCTTTACTAAGGAGCTCCTGAAGGACTGCCCTGGTCAAAGAGCCACGAATCTTCAGTCTCTCCGAGACCACAGCTGGGGTAATAAGCTTGTCATTGGGAACTTCCTTACAGAGTTTGTCAAACAAGACCAGGTTATTGAGCTTGTCCCAAACTTTGCCTTTGGACCACTTCTTCTATTTGGCCTGCAAAAAATCTTCACGTGGTCTTGTCTTTCTTGACTGACTTTCCAGCATCTTTCTTCTTCTTGTCATCCTTGGGTGGCATTGCGAGACTCGGAGGGCAGGGCACCGCTGCTGCCTCACCAAGATGTCGGCCCGAGAGCTCACTCTCAATTTTGATGAAATAGCCTTGGCTATAAAATTACTATAAAAGCTCATAGGGATTAATAAACACGACTGATTTTCCTTTTTCCCTTTTAGTTTGGAATATGGGCAGATCAGCTTGGGGATGGAAGAGCCCATCTTATTGGAATTTACATGAACAGGTACCACATGTTTTCTTGAATAACTTTTCTGCTAAATATTTACATGAATTTTCTAATACTTACATATTTTTTGAAGGCTGGGTGAAAAGTGGGAACTTCAGTTAAAAGGCTCAGGAAAGACCCCATACTCCCGGTACAGTTTTTTTCGTTTGTTTGGTTTTTTTTACTTAACTAAATTAAAATGATGTTGTCTTTGTCATTGAAAATCTTTTAATCTTATTTCCTGTAGAAATGGTGATGGCAGAGCTGTACTTCGTTCCTCAGTGAGAGAATTTTTGTGTAGTGAGGCTATGTACTATCTTGGAATCCCAACCAGCAGAGCTGCAAGGTAACTCCTCTTTCCTTGGAGCTAACTTTCAGGACTGGATCATGTTATTTCCAGAAACATTAGTAAATGGAGCAGATAAATTTCTGCTTATAGTTTCTTATAGTTTTAGGTGTTGTTATTTTTTTGTTAATCCTCACCCGAGGATATTTTCCCCATTGAATTTTAGAGAGAGGGGAAAGGAAGGAGGGAGGGGAGAGAAAGAGAGAGAGAGAAAAACAGAGAAACATCGATGTGAGAGAGACATGTGCCTCCTGAACGTGCCCTGATGGGGTAGGGATCAAACCTGAAACCAAGGTACATTCCCTTGACTCAAAATCAAACCCTAGACCAGGGGTGGGCAACCTTTTTGTGAGTGCGTGCCAAAACCAGCAAAATCTCTGACTCAAAATTCTTCTGCGTGCCAACCCTAATTTTTTGAGAACATGTTACGCCTACTTGATATCTCTTAAGGTGTACGTATGTGAAGAACCTTGAAGAAATAATAAAATTCATTCAAGCGACAAAAACACAGTATATGATGATGAAAAATACATTTATTTTTTAATGTATACATGTACACTGATAGTCCGACAGAAAACTTTATGACTCCGTTTGCTATTATCAGTGGGACTTTTGCTGCTGCATCACTGATGACAGAGATTTTACATCAGGTTTATATTTCGTGACCTTCAGAGATATGCACGAGCTACTACTTTCATCCGTCAGGCTACTCCTATTATGAGACTTAACAAAATTCATCACTGAGAACAAAGATTCACAACTGTAAATGGAAGATTATAAGAGAGGGTTTCCCGTGCCAGCAAAAGTTACTGGCGTGCCAGGGATTGCCCACCCCTGCCCTAGACCCTTTGGTGTGTGGGCTGAGAAACACCAGCCAGGGCAGTTTTAGGTGCTTCTTTGTTTGTTTGTTAGTTGTTAATCCTCACTTGAGGATATTTTTTTCCCATTGATTTTTTTCAATTTATGTATTTTATTTATTTATTTATATTTAAAATCTTTACTGTTGAAGGTATTACATAGGTCCTCCTTATTCCCCCATTAATCTCTTCCAGCCTGCCCCCCCTCCCCCAGACCCTCACCCCCTTCAGGTTCTGGGCTCTGGGGCTATTTTTGATCATCAGTTTATTTGATTCATTAGAGTCCACATATGAGTGAGATCATGTGATACTTACCTTTCTCTGGCTTATTTCGCTTAGCATAATACTCTCCAGGTCCATCCATGCTGATGCAAATGGTAAGAGTTCTTTCTTTTTTGTTGCCGCATAGTATTCCATGGTGTAAATGTACCACAGCTTTATTTTTACCACAGCTTTTTAAAAAAATATATATTTTTATTGATTTCAGAGAGGAAGGTAGAGAGATAGAAACATCAATGATGAGAGAGAATCATTGATTGGCTGCCTCCTGCACACCCCCTACTGGGGATCAAGCCCACAACCCGGGTATGTGCCCTTGACCGGAATCAAACCCGGGATCCTTCAATCCGCAGTCCGACGCTCTATCCACTGAGCCAAACCAGCTAGGGCATACCACAGCTTTTTTTTTTTTTTTTTAATGCTTTCTCTGCATCTGTTGGTATTATCATATGATTTTTATCCTTCATTTTATTTATTTTTATACCACAGCTTTTTAATCCACTCATCTACTGATGGGCACTTAGGCTATTTCCAAATCTTAGCTATTGTAAATTGCACTGCTATGAACCTAGGGGTGCATATATTCTTTCTGATGAGTGTTTTGGGTTTCCTAGGGTATAATCCTAGAAGTGGGATTACTGGGTCAATGGATGTTTTACATAATGGCTGCATCAGTCTGCATTGCCAGCAGTGTACTAGGGTTCCCTTTTCTCCACAACCTCACCAATATTTGTCGTTTGTTGATTTGTTGATGCTAGCCATTCTGACCGGTGTGAGGTGATAATCTCATTGTCTTTTTTATTTGTATCTCTTGGATGATTAGTGACTGAGCATTTTTGTATATGTCTCTTGGCTTTCTGTATGTCCACTTTGGGTAAGGGTCTATTTAGATCCTTTGCCCATTTTTTAATTGGATTGTTTGTCTTCCTTTTGTTAAGTTGTATGAGTTCCCTATATATTTTGGAGATTAACCTCTTATCCGATGTATCATTGGCAGATATGTTCTCCCATGTAGTGGGTTGTCTTGTTGTTTTGTTGATGGTTCCTTATGCAGTGCAGAAGCTTTTTATTTTGATGTAGTCCCATTTGTTTATTTTCTCCTTAGTTTCCATTGTCCTAGCACCGTGGTTGGCAAACCGTGGCTCGAGAGCCACATGCGGCTCTTTGGCCCCTTGAGTGTGGGTCT